GGCAGTGGTGCTGTACTACCGCGATATAAATTCCCGTATGACTTGCACTGCACTGGTGTTACTGCGCCGTCGGAGAAATGCAGAAATTTAGGAGAGAATACGTCACTGTTTATAACGTAGCATCACACAATTTAATGATACAGAAAAGAGTATTGATACTCCTTATGAGATATATTGACGAGGAGCAGATGCCAGCATTATTGGAAAGAATTATTCTCTTACTAGTCTAAGTATTATGAAAGCTCCTTTTCCATGTGAAGAAAAACATTTAACTTGGGCCAATGGTCAAATTCCTGAATTCTTTTGACAAGTTTATAATAATCCAGAAGCTACTGATTTTAGTGCTTATCATGAAGTATTAGGTCCTGATGCAATTAATATGATAAAAATTCGTGAAGAACCAATAACTGTTTATGAGAAAAAAATTCACGGAGAAGAATTAACTAGATGAGTTTTTGGTAATGATTATTTAGATATAATGTACAGTAAATATGTTGAAAATTTAATCAAAAATACCAAAGATACTAATGGGGATCCTTTAGTTGATGTGGATGCACTTAGAAGTGAGTGAGAAAGTATTTCTAAAAAAATTTTTTCAACTTTCAGAGGCAAGACCTTCACAACTTTCTCACAAAGAGCAAAATCTGTGACCTATGCTGAAATAAAAGATAGAATTTCTGATTTTAGTAGTAGTAATACTGTTAAATTAATAACAGACTATTCAGAAAGTGGAGTTGACCAAGTGACTGATGATAGTGTGATCAACAAATGAGATGAATGAGAAAAAATTACTAAAGTTAAGAGAAAGACTTTAGAAAAAAATAAAAATGATTTTGAAGCTGAATTAGGTGCAAAATGAATTGAACTAAATAAAATTGATTCTAAAACAACAGAAGCTCAGATTAGAAAAACAGTAGTAGAAAAAACAATAGAAGCTGCTAAAAAAGGAAAGATGAAAGGTTTAAAAGATACCTTTAATGCCATCAATGCTAAAACTAACAAGACTTACTATTATGCTTGGTACTGGCTTGGGACAAGTAATGTCTTTAAATTCATCTTTGAGAAAAGGGCAAATGTTTTGGTAAAGATACTCTTGTCTTTTATCCAAAGGAGGAGGAGTTAGTACTAGGATGGAAAAGAATTTAATTTCTTTAGTTATTTCAGAGACACTTGCTTTTCTAGTTTTCAACAAATTAAATTCAGTAAAGCAACCAGCTGGGCTTTGACAATTCCACGTTGAGCTGCTTCAAAGAGTATTTTTGCAAAACTCACTGAATTTCTTAAAGAAAATCCCCAACACAAAATTAAGATCTAAGTATTGAAAGCCTTTTCCCATTGTCATAACACTGAGCCTTGTTTAATCCAGCCATACTTGATTTTTTCACAACATGATTCACACAATCATATGTCCAGGTACCATGAAAATTTTTAATGGTGCTTTTTTTACTGGCTCCTTTTACTATGTACAATGCTTTATATTTAATTAGTCAGAAGAAACCTATGATGCAGATAATAACTATTACTATAGTTCATTACAAATTAATGTTTAGGGTAACCACAAGTATTTAAATGGCAGCCCTATTATCATCAAGACTAGTACTAGAATTCAATAAATGTAGACTCCCAAGGTCAATCCAACTTTCACAGCATAATAATAAAGCATTATCACTAAATAGCCTAGAATGAATCTCTGGATAACAATGGGCTCATTGTGGATAAGGAATTTATTCAGTCCACAAGTTCTATAAAGCCAATATGTCTAATACTCTAATTTTAGAAGAAAGAAATTTACAGTTTCTACAACATGTCATAAATATTATAGATTAGCATTAGTTCAATACAGGAGGTCTATCAATGAAGACAACTCCCACATAAAGATGGTCAGCGAAAAGATGTGCTTTAAGCTCACGTTTGGACTCGTAAACCTTTCCACAATTTTCCCATTCACACATAAATGCCTCAACAAACGCGTTGTCGACATTTCCATTCGGTTGTGATTGTAAAGATGTTGAAAAGTTTGCATCTGATTCCTCTGTATCTGTTTTACGAGACTTACTCGCTTGACACGCCCACAAATATCGACGTACATCATCAAAGGCACGATTCTGATCCTGCAGCAGTTGCGTAGTTTGCTTCAGTAAATCAACTTCATCTTGAAGGAAATACTTTTCGAATCGTAATTCTTGCACGTCAAGCTCCGCTCGCTTTAGTTTCCTTGTTAATTCCCGTATGCTACTTTCGGCTTTTTCAAACACATCGTCTTTCTTCTTGAGTAAATCTTGAAGCTCTTGTATATTCGACTTCAACAATCGAATTTCTTCGCTCGTATCATCCAAAGGGACTGGATTTATTGTCTCGTCAAGCTCATCCGCGGTTGAGCCTGAGGGTTCGTCAACCACCGTCTCAGGTGTTTCGTCATCCGGCCCAAGTTCGCCCACCTTTTCTGTGCTACTCCCAGGGAAAAGTTGCGCGATGGTATTTGAGTCACACAGTACTTCTTCATCATAATCGCCACAAGAAGATGTATCTGTGTCATTCTTCTGGGATGTGTTATTCTGCTGGGATGTGTCATCCGGAAGTGGACTTGCCGGATATTCACGAGAATTAGATGAAACACTACGCATGCCTAGTGGCCGTAAGCGCCTGCCCGCGGGCCGCACTTCCTGTTCGCTAGGATAAGCCAATGTATTATGTGAGAATTTTTTCCCCCGTTTAGGTGTCTTGCTATTGTCGACGTCAGCTACCTGCTGCATTCCGTCAGTTGGCGCCTGTACAAGGGACGGTGGCGGTTGTGATGCACGACTTGCCCGCGTCGATTCCGAAATTCGACCGTTTGCTAGAGGCTTTCTTTTCTTGTAGCGCTCCCAGTCTGTGACTAGTAATTTTGTGCAATGCTTTGCAGGCTCCTAGATTGCATACAATCTACCTGTTAGCCTCAATCCAACGTGTTAACAGACTGCCTAAACATTATTAAGTCTTATGGTAAAAGGCAGGACTTATTTCCTACCCACGTCGGTTCCCATGGCTGTCCTGAGACGTCTACACCTTTCCATTTAACTAGGTAAAAAAGTTCAGATCCGATTTTCTTCTCATCGGCGATGCGCTCAGCTTCGAAGTATTCCTCATGTTTGCGTTTTGTTGAGCTCTTGGGCATTCTGTAAGAAACTGGAATAGCCAACGGAAGTAAAATTTTATGATTCCGTAATCGCTCCTTAATATTAACAATCGCGGAATCAGACTGTTGAAGGATCCGACAGGTGGTCTCTCCAAGAATTCGCCGCAGTTTTGTTCTCCTCCCCACTTTGTCCGCATAGCTCGAGATTTGATTGGCTGGTGATTGATACTGATAAATTTCCATAAAAAGTAATAAAATTATTGGTGATAACAATAGGCACAGACGATCTTCACCATACCCGTAGGTATTTGTTAACCATAACCATCTTGTATAAATAGGGAATGTCTGATACGTAATAGACATAATCTTATATTAATCATTAGATAGTAATAGAAGTTGGCTACATAAATTTGTTGCTGTGATAACAAAATGTTATTAGCCAGGTTAGTTAACTTACAGCCACACCAGCTGTTCACATAAACATTGTGTGTGGCGTTGAACCTTTCATGACGCGTTTTTTACTTAAACTTTTACCGCAAAATGTTCGAAGGACAAGAGCTCAGTGAGCCTAAAACGTGGCCTTGTTATTAAAAGGTACTCTTTGGTCATTAAGAACAATATATTGAAGAGAAAACTGGCTATCTAAAATTGGCAGTCCATGATATCGTAGTAAAAATAATAAGGCAACTTACTGCTTTACGCCGCCAAAATCGACAGTCAGAAACAAACGTTAACTTAAAATTGTTATCGATGGCAGACAACGAGACAGATTTACGCAACTTTATCCAATCAACTGGAACTGCCGCTAGTTCGTCGACTGTAAAAAGAGATTTGTGTAAAACCAGGCTATAATATAGCCGAGTTGCGTCTCGCACGCCGCTTATTTTGCGAAACCAAGAAATATCGAATCCAGTGGGCTCGAGAGCACCGAGAATGGTTTTTAGGCAATTAGAAAACAAGCATAGTAATAGAGACAAATCTTGTTTGACATTGATGCAAAGTTCGTGTGTGGAGGCGTTCGAAAAAATGATATAATATTGACTACATTGTTCCTACAGTCAAGCATGGTTTAATATTAAAGGCGTAAATAAACAAATTTAATTTTCTCATCTATAAAACAAGATACAGTAGTCCAATTAAATTTTGTGATAAATAGCTGTTATTTTGCGCTTTCGAATGATACAAATTTTAAGTACGGTTTATATGTGTATTAATCGTTGACATTTTTTTGAACTTTAGGTCGTGTAACCCGAATTATAGCATTTTTAGTTGAGTAAAGTAGGTTATAAGTAAGTTCGTAAACACGATAGCCAACATTATGCTGTTATTCACAATTACAAGAGAGTTATCGGAGATACCTGAAGTGTGAAGAAAGAGCTCAAGGTTTAAATTTTCTATGGCAGCCGAACTGCTCATAACGGTGATGCCTGTCATAAGCCATTGACTATGTTAGCTAAGAGAGCACTCTTTGAGCTCAACAACGTCGTCATTTAATTGATAATCTAGATGACATTAATTCCACATTTATAATATAGTAATTAGCTTCCGCAACACAAGCTAACGTAAACAGTAGGAAGAAACTGTAGTAACAAATAAATAAAACAGATGTAATTATCGTTACTTTGTACGGTTGATATGCAGAATTGCAAAAAAGTGTTCCTCTAATATCACTGAATGTTGCGGTTTTTATTAGGCTAATATACGTTGGGGTCTTGTGATAAACTGCTGATGAAAGGCTTACAGACGTGTTCAAGCTAAACTGTCAATGCGAGACAACACTTCGACAAGGCAATCACTATACGATATCTTTAATACTGCTTTTTTGCCAAATATTCTATAATATTATTAAGTTTTTTGGCTTGCTCGAAAGCTCTTTTTGAGCACTACATAACAGCATACTTAACGGTTTTGAAATGTAAAGTTTTTCTCTCTTGTCGAAGGCAAAAACCTCGGGTAGTATGCTGCACGAGATAGTGTAGACGAAAAGATTTGTTGGCGAGGAAGATTATCTTTTTCCGAGTCGCGGTAGTCAAATGAGGTTTCTGTGTAATGAATTTTAGTTCAAAGTTTAATATTAATATGGAATGATTATCGCTTTGTACTAGGGCGAACAAAAGTTTCGTCTGGTTTATTGACTATAATGCGATTTTAGTAAACGCAAACATATTCATTAAAGTTAACGTTAAGGGACAATTTCCCGGAGAAACTGAAGAAGTCTACACCCGACTATCCAAAAGAGAGTATGAAACCAGAAGAGTTGGATGAAGAAGGTTATTCTCAAGATATTATTCAATCGAACATAAAAAAAAATGCAAGTCTTTGCGCTGGAGTGTGGCGTCAAACACTAAGACAACGCATGACTTTGCCTTAGCGTGTTTATTTTTCCGGTTTAATACTACTTTTACGTTTGAATTGTAATGAAGCTATTGGTAAGATTATTAAACATGTTACTAGCTAACTTTGGCTAAATACTTTTGTTGAGAGTATTAGTAAGTTTATCCAATGAAATTAATTGGTCAGATGATAGCAATTTCAATTTTATTGTCGAAACGAGAAACAGAGTTGATTATTCATCATTAACAAACAAACGCAGTCTGCATAGTCACTATCGGGAGATCATTCGCGATGATGATACTCTTTGTAGTATCTAATTCAGCAGTCTTACATCCCGGGATGTGTGTTTGCATACTCTAGTCTTCGTGTCTCATTATCTGTTCATCACACTGCTTTATATCCCGGGATGTCTTCGTCCTTCATATCAACGATGTCTTTCAAAGCCTGCTCGATCGTGGCCACGCCAAGAAGCAATTCTTCCTCCGTAATACATAACGGAGGGGCGAGGCGAATAATATTGACATGAGTGGGCTTGGCCAAAAGCCCGCGTGTTTTAAGCAGCAAACAAAGCTGCATTGCGGTCTTGCCAGTCTTCTTTTCGTCAATGACAATAGCATTGAGGAGCCCAAGACCGCGAACTGCCTGCAAAAGCGGCGAATTAATTTTACAGAGAGCTTCTCGGAATATATTCCCCAGTCGCTCGGCTTTCTCTACCAACTTTTCTTCTTTAATCACTTCGAGAGCTGCTATTGCGACTGCGCACCCGAGAGGATTGCCTCCATACGTTGAGCCATGTTCCCCTGGACGGATACAAAGCATAATGTCCTTATCTGCCAGGACTGCGGAAACGGGATATACACCCCCAGTTAGGGCTTTCCCGAGTATGAGAATATCTGGTCGTACATTTTCGTGATCGACGCACAGCATTTTCCCAGTGCGCGCTAGACCAGTCTGGATTTCATCGGCGATAAAGAGTACATTATGCTTCTGGCATAATTCGTAACACTTGGAGAGGTAACCTTTGTCGGGTACATATATACTTTATAACAAATAGCCAATCAGCATTGACTGTTTATATGATCATAGTGTCACACAAGGAATTCCGGTAATGGACATACATACCCAGCCTCTCCTTGAATAGGCTCCACGAGGAAGCCTGCAACATGTTTGCCATGCAACTCGAGCGCCTCCTTCAAGTCGTCTACGCTATTATAGTTGATAACTTTCCCTGACGGACATACCGGTCCGACATTCGGTAGGAATGGCCCAAAATCTCTCCGACAGTCCGGATCAGTCGACATAGAAATCGCACCTGTTGTTCTACCGTGGAAATTATTCGCGCAAGCAAGAACTATGGCCTGATCCTCCGGAATACCTTTTCGCATATAGCCCCACTTGCGGGCGAGTTTGACGGCCGTCTCCACTGCCTCGGCCCCTGTGTTCATTGGCAAGACCATGTGGTATCCAAAAAGCTAATAGCATCGGACGAAATTGGAGAGTGATGTTTTAGTCAAATTCACAAAATGGATATAATAAACAAAGTAAGTAAAAAAGAGACGATACCCCAAGTCTTCTAGCGCTCATTTTGACTTGGGACCCTCTTTACTGTAGCTAGTTACGTTAATAAAATATTTGCTCGTCATGTCAATGTCTTTATCAGATCATTTGATAAATGCAGGACAATCGACTGTATGATTAAGAACATTGAAATCACGCTTCGTCACGATTGATAGTTAAATATACCTTGGTCACGTATTTAGCATACTTTCCGAAGACGTCATTGTGGAACGCCCTCGAGCTAAGCGTGAGCTTTTTCGCTTGCTCGCACAAAGCATCGACGATTTTTGGGTGACAATGTCCTTGATTGACTGCGCTGTACGCAGACAAAAAATCCATGTACTTGTTGCCTTCTGGATCCCATACATGCACTCCCTTGCCTCGAGCGAACACGACGGGGAGTGGGTGATAGCTAACATATGACAATAAAAATAACATAAGCTGATCAGATACTGTTTGCTGATGTTCGTACTCTACATGATTTGACCTACTTATGAGCGCTAAATTCTTGTTCGAGTTGAATCAAATCTTTGGTCTTAGACATCGTGCAAGGAGTTTGAGGAAAAAAGGCTGTGATGCTGATATATATCCCTTCCGTAAGTGAAAACTCGACCAATCCAGCAATAACGATGGATGACATATTTTTTTCACGTTTTGTGCAACGGCCCCTTAAAAAGGATAACAGCATGTACCCCTTTAAGCTTCCCCTTGTCCGGAATATTTATTATATATGGATGCTGCAGAACAATATGGGGAACATGCAGACATGCAGACAAGTGCTTATGACCAAAAAAAGGGTAGGCTGACAGTGGAGAAATAAATCGTGAGAACAGATCGATTGTTCTTTGACTAGTGCGAACCAGACCTATTATGATCTACAACACAACCGCTGTTGATCTATACTGCAAAAGTGTTTGTATGAGAAGTGGCGCTATACAACATACCGAAACTATTTATCGAACTATACCATATTTCGCCCGTTCAAATGATAGAAATCACAAAAGCTTTTAATTGTACCAGCTTTGTTTTATTTTTCAATCGATAAATGAAGGATTTGATGATTAATGACTGAGAATGTCTTCTGTTATGTAAACAAGGAATCCGCGATACAGCAAACATTCATTAACTCATAAAACCTCAACACAACGAATCCTTGGTAAACAAAAAACTCGGCCGACTGATTCAACAATCGGGGCTCACTGTGTATTATACTTGCTATTTGGGGCTGTAGAGAATATATTCTAAGACGTGTCCAGTATGCCCAACGAATTGAGCTGTACAATGGAAAAGCAACGCGTATTCTGAAAAAACAAAGCCAAAAAGCATTCTATGTTATAGTAAATTGTTCTAGATAATAATATATCTATTTTATGATTGAAGATGTTAATAAAGTAGACCAGATTAATGACTCGGTGACCATAATTATTGTTTAAGACATAATTACTTGTCCCAATTCCTTTCTGTCCCCGCTTTAATGCTCTTTTCTCCACCACTACTATCTAATGTCAGTGATTTCTACATTAAGTATTCATCGATGATGACCATACTTGGCAGCATCAACCAGGACAGGACATCTGGCTCCAACCACTACATAACACTCCAATATCCTATCTCTCTACACTACTAACATCAACTCTTTAGTCTGATCATATGGCGGACTGCAACAAAAAACCAGATAAAGTGAACATTGGATCATGTGAGCTAAAAGAGGCTGGTGTGGCAACTAAGTGACTGATGACGTTTTGCAAAGGCTTTGCTTTAGTGGCAACGCAGAGGCTCATGCACAACCTATGGGACTAAAATTTTTAGGTCTATATGTAGTGGAATATATAGACAAGCTTGCATTCTAGCAAATACTACATGCAAAGGACAGTCTACTTTCAAGACACTTGCACTCTTTCCAAAAAACTGTTGGTCTGAAAATATGGTTTGTTATATCGAGTTCTGACAATTCTGCGTGTGCATGGGCAGGAATGTCAACCGCGTTTCCGAAGTTTGGTCTTCTTGCGTGGATTGTGTAGAGACGTAATGTCTACGCTTTCAGCTCATGTTGGAGTCGAGTTAAATTACGCGAGTTGCATGCACAAAGCGAACGCTGTCGATTCTCATAATTCGACTTTTCCAGTAATTCAATCGCCTTGATATTGAGTGAGACCCGATTTTTTCATACAATTTTTCTTCCTTTTATTCGATCAAACTTATAAAATTTCGATTATTTGTTAATTCGACCGCTCAAATAATTTCTATTTAGCCAGTACATATAAATAATATTACAATTACGTTCGTTAATTCGACCCATGGTCAATCATTTCTATTTAAGGGTCAATTGATTAGCTTTTGACCAGCTGCATTAATTTTGTGATAAAAATTTTCGATTATCCGACCGGCACTAATTTATAATAAAATTCGATCGAGTACAAGTTCACAACGACAAATCTGCAAGCTATCAATTACATGTTAAGAATTATCTTTGAAAAGAACCGTGAGATCGAATCTAACGCCATTGCAAGAGCCACGGCGCATTCCAGTGATCGTCATAGGATCAGCATAAAATGTTGAAGCGCGAGGTATAGTTTCATACTTTGGTGAGATAACTTCATTTCAATTGGTCAACATGCTATCGTGCCTACAATGGGAATTCTTTCATCAACGTAACAGTTCTATCGCGCGTCAATTTCGTTAATTAATGCTTTCACCATGCCCTTGTGCACATGATGCAAATATTAGATAGGATTACATAATAGACAACTGATCAGAATAAAGGGTACGAATATCAACTTTCACATTCTTGCGCGGGTCGATCTGCTCGGTTAATAGGGGTTTAGGATTTGGATGATTATTTTTATGTAACATTAATTTTAAGCTGTATGCTTACACAATTATAATTATGCGCCAACAGTAACATAAGAAAGGTAGACTTACGCAAACGTTCTCAACGCATCCTTCAATGTGCGGAACGCTGAAAACGAAAGCAGCAATGTGAACGACTTCAACAGTAGACCTTCCGTCTTTCCATAAGATATACTCGCCATGTAGGTCTGAACAACATAAGCTCGCATTGGGGTTTTTTTTATCTCAAAATGAAGTAGTAATCTCATACAATTTTATGGACATCATCAGTCAGCATTGCCGCCGGGCATAAATATTTCCATTTGTAGTCATACATAATAATTGAGTACGACTTTATTGCCCAGCTGCCGGTAGTCATACCTGTATCCCAGCCCTGAACCGTCTCTGCCTGCCTCCTCGTACTTTCCCTTGAGCTCGTCAACATATCCTTCATGCGTGGGAGATTAAATTGGTCCAGCGCAAACTTGGTCAGATCGTAGCGCTGTGGAGCTCGCACGCCAACATGCATACTAGCGCATGTTGCACAGGCAATCGGCCAATTGCGCTCGCTTAATGCGCTCCTCAAGAACGTGTTTCATACGATTGCGACGACCATGGTAGCAAGAACTGCGACTTCACCCCTACATCGTTGAAAAATAAACATAAGAGTTCCGAGTAAATCACGTCCATGTGGAAAACTAAGAACAAAATAAACTTGTGTAGATTACCATGCCCCGCGACAACGGCTGTCCATCGTAACACGTTTCGTATAAGAGGTATGACATAGTCCCCGAACCATTCTCTCTCGTGCAAGTCGCTCTGTTGGAGTGGATTTTGGAATGACTCAAACGCATGTTCGGAATTCAAGTAAAAAACTGATTGGTCTCGAGGGAGGCATTTATTTCATCGACAATCATTTCATCGACAGTACACTTCACCGACAGTCATTTCACGTGACACATTGTTTATCGCACTTATCATTGGTTTTCGATGAAATTTATGTCGGTGAAACGTACTGTCGGCGAAATGATTGTCGATGAAATGAACCGGACCCCTTATAGCTTTTCTGCCACTAAGATATCACCCACCATTAATCATTCCACCACTTGCAATTTCCATAAATATCAGTTGATCAATGTGAATTTTCCCATGCAAGCGATCCTTCTTCCAATTTTGTGCTTTCTTCTTATCAGAACGAGTCCCTGACATGATTTTGAGTGTCAGTAATTACTCTAGCTATTGTATTCTCAGTCTATCCGATGCATCTTAGAATCAGACAAGCTCTGAGGTTATTGTGTCAGATGTTTAAGCATCAGGCAAGCTCAGAAGTCACCTGGCCCCAACACTGTCTTTTTGTGGCTCAGCTCAGAGACTTGAATTATGGAGATCTTCTACCATGCCACTTATTCTTTTGCGATAAAACTCCACAAAATTTAACTTGCCTTTCTTGTAATTATCCATCAGGTTTTACGTTTGCTCTTTTCTTTGTCTTTTCTCTGTTCTAACAATCATCTCGAGAGATATAATGTACTCCTCGATCTTCTGTCTGTAAGGTTCCAGGTTGCATTCATTTAGGAATCCAATAATGTTCCAATCAGATGCTTTTCGTTGAAATTCATTTGCATTGAATTTCCACACCATAGTCGACTGACTTGTAAATGACACGACTGAGAAAGTTGAGGCATGATTTTAAATCGATCAGCTGAATAAATACTATTACATTAACCCAGCCAGCTATGCACATTGTGGCCTTTGCCTAATCAAGTAATGGAATATTGATTTCCCTTTATATAGTCACTCAATAGGCTTATGTGATTGTACGAAGGTAATGTTATATGTATTATTATATCAACAATCAATTCACCCACAGTATATATGTACCATAATTGCTTATTTATTTATGCTTAATTTTCACGTGCTGAGCATTATTGACACTGTATGTGGAGCAATTTTTCTGGCTGGTTGATCATATAGATAATCATGTGATTTGTGACTAATTCAAGGGCAAAGCATATAATGATACATTGGTAATTGAATGGTGTAACAGTGACTATTACCTAAATGTGATAAATTTCATATATACCAAGAGTGACTATATCAAGGTGCAACTGTATATGTGTTTTCCCTGTGGAATGGTCAGAACCCTGAATATTAACCGATTTCCCAAGACCGAACATTCATTCCGAGCGAAACTAATACAGCTGTTATGATCTGACACATTAGTTGCATCATTGTGTCTAGCTGAGTTAGTACATTTTGTGTATGTACATGTCTAACTTGGGCATCTTATCCAAACTCGAGAATCGTCTGATACATGTGTCACTGCAATCCCAGCAACTTTGGCATTGTGACGTTGGCACACATAGCTTTGATTGTCTGTTGACTTTTCAACTAACTTTTTCTTGAACATTCAAAGGCTCCACGTGTATGTTCAAACTATGACGTTAAATATGCAGATCAATGTTGTGTAATTCTGAACATATATTATGGTTACAATGTTACGTTTGCTGTGAGGATGGACGATGGGAGAATTTTAAACGGAAGGACCTACAAAATAATAAAGTTTATATATAGCATGGTTAGCACTTGTATTGTGTGACAATTGAGAGACAATGTGCTAGCAAGCAAAGAATATAAGCCTTCCATAACATGATATGCAAAGAAGCATATAAAAGAGATTTTTCCCTTTGTCTTTATTCTGACAAAGGCATGGAGGGGTTCTCGACCTATTTGCTAACTGGGCTGGACCCAGCACCTATAGTTGATTTGGCGCTTCAATAGGAGAAGTATCACATGTTTGTGTAAGTAAAACGTATAAACAGGGCTGAGTTTGGCAGGCACAGATCGCAACTCTCTCACATAAAACCCTATTCACTAACCATCTCAAACATCTAAACATGGGCAATGCTATGAAAATAGACCCGATGGACCTAGGAAGTTTCTTTGTTAAATATGGGCAAGACTATCCCAACACAACTTTTAAGGAGCAGCAGCATACAAAAACTATAAAGAGTTCTTTTATAAACACCATCACGACCACTCCGGAGCAATTATGGATTGCTGAATACCTTCAAACACTTGATAAGCAAGCAAGTGATGATAGAGGAGCAATGGGGAGAAGAGTTTGAATACTGTTACTGGTTTTGTGCTATATTAATATTGCAAGAGAGGCAATTGGGTGTTATTAGTTGGGACAGAGCAGAATCGTAGCAGAGCTAGGTTATACATAAACTCATTCAAAAAGAACTCAAGGGGACAAGAGATATTATGGGTTAATAGAGGAGCAACGGGGTTAACAGAGGGAGAGTAGTTCGAATGCATTAAAAGCATTGAGATCAAACTACCATTGCAACATTGACTAATTGGTGTTTTTTCTCCTATGCATTCTTTAGCGAAGGATACTCAAAACAACAAAACCTCTGCGGCTGTGCTGCACCAGCAAAAACAGGCTTTCGTGGAAGCTTTCAAAATACCATACCAGGATCCATTGAAAATAGTCAAACAATTTCAGGACTACATCAATAAGAAACATGGATATTGGTTTGCTAATAAGAAAAATCACTTACCATAAACTGCTGACTGATGTATCTGGGTATTTCCAATGTCCATTTTAGTTATGTAGGGGGGATATTTTGTATTGGTGGGGGGGGTACATCCATGAGTTGTACCCCCAAAGAAATTTATTTTATTAATTTTTGACACATAAAATTTTTTCAACTTCAAATTTCAAAAAAAAAAAGTTTCTATACAGAAACGAACCCCTAAAATGATCTTGCACTACACAAAAAATCCATTGCAGTTGGTGTGCTCATGAAAAACTCATGGTTGTTTATTACTTGGAATGGTCAACAATGTGCAAGGAACAGCTAAACAATTTGGTATTGAGCCCAAGCAAGTTCATGAGTGGAGAAGTAAAAAAAAGAGAACTATTTGAGGCTGCACCTTACACTTTAACACTCAACTGTGGTTGCCAAGCACAATATCCATTACTTGAACAAAAACTTGTTGAGTGGGTTGTGGAACTATGTGACAGGCAAAATGCTGTAATGGGAAATATGGTGATCTGAAAAGCAAAATTAATTTCTCAAACTGATGAATTTAAAAACCTTTATCTTGATACTACCAACTTCAAATTCTCTGATCAATGGTTAAGTGGATTTTTACATCACCATGATCTTTAAAATCGTTGTCATACAACGTTGCACAACATCTTCCCCAAAACCTTATCGAAAAACAAAGTGAATTTTTAAGCTTTATTTTACTCAAATGCCACCAACATAAGTTTCCAATAAAATATATTGGAAATATGGATAAAACACCACTATCTTTTGATCTTCCCTGTTCAACAACTCTTGAACAATGTGGTGCCAAGATGTTAGTATTTGAACAACAGGACATGAAAGTGTTACGGTCGGGTGATCTGGGGTTTGGGAGAGCAATTAATCTGTCGCGTAGGGGTGTTCTTCCGACCGGGGGATGTTACCAGATTAGCTTCG